TTTTTTGCAGAAAGGCACCACTTCCATCCTTACCTCAGGCTGGATCTTCAGGTGGGCGGGGTTAGGGTGTCTGGTCCATTAAGGACGCACTGGTCAGTCTGTTTAATTCCATCTGGTCGGGGCTCCATCGGGGACTGGACTACAGCGGGATGAAGGTGGGGAAATATCAGAGGCCCGTGAGACCGGGTCAGCGCGAGCCTCAAGCTCGTGACAGCAGTCGGAGATTTATGGGGTCGAGAGACTGAGGTCCAGTGACTTTGACGTCGTGCGAATTTGCAGCCATTCGTGTGACTGTGATCGCGTTGTATGTTCTCGTGACTGATTCTGACCCTGCAGTCAGAAATAGTGTGCTTGTGTTTGTTCTTTCTGGTTTCTTCGATTGCGACTGTTGACAGTGGTATCTGACTACATGACCTGGGATTGTGAATGTGATTGGTAGACAGAACTCAGGCCACCTAGATTCTGAACCGACTCGGCTATTTACTAGCTGTGTGACCTCAGACTTGTTACTTAACTTCTCTGTGCATTCGGTCTTAATACCCTTAACAAAGAGATAATAATAACCACCTCTTAGAGTTTTGCTGAGCATTGAAAAAGTTAATTCGTGTAAAGCTCAGTTTCTACGAGTGTGACAGGTCGTTTTTGAGGCCATAATTTACAGATCTGGTCAGAAGTTTAGATCAGATCAGAAATTTAGACCTCAGTCATCCCCTAAAGTAGGCTCTTTGAGAAGAAAGGAAGCCCAAATATTAGCAATTCCCCCTAACCCAGATGTTCTATTGGGACCCCTATGTGAGCCAAATATACTTTAAAACCTACAGTACCTCCAGTCCAGAGTGCTCCTCAGGACACTACTGTGAACTTGGGGAAGAATCCAGCCTCACAAAGTAGGAATCTTGACCTTTCTCTTTCATCATAAGGGACAAAATTGTTCTAATCTCTCTTACTTTCTCTTACATATAGGTGGTTGGACATGGAGCAGACCACCTGACTTGGCCTGTGAGAAAGTTGCAAGGAAGGCCTGGTGTTTCATGACTCCTGCATCCTTCCTCAGCTCTACTCTTCTGCAAAAGAGGCATCACAGGAGTAGACAAAAAGGCATTACACATC